GCGGAGGTTGCGGTGAGCCAAGATCGCGCCATTGCACTCCAGCCTGGGTAACAAGAGCGAAACTCTGTCTCAAAAAAAAAAAAAAAAAAAAAAAAAAAAGAAGCTACTGTAGAAGCAGGTGCGGTGGCTCACGCCTGTAATTTCAGCACTTTGGGAGGCTGAGGTGGGCAGATCACCTGAGATTGGGAGTTCAAGACCAACCCGACCAACATGGAGAAACCCCGTCTCTACTAAAAATACGAAATTAGCTGGGTGTAGTGGTGCATGCTTGTAATCCTAGCTATGCAGGAAGCTGAGGCAGGAGAATCACTTGAACCTGGGAGGTGGAGGTTGTGGTGAGCCAAGACGGACCCAGTGTACTCCAGCCTGGGGAGTGAAACTCTCGGGGGAAAAAAAAAATTCCTACAAATTTGCCGAGCGTGAGCTGTGTTCAGAGCCCTGTGGGACACAGAGATGGGGAGATGAGGGGTTGGCAGGGGCTCGGAATGGAAACTTACGTGGGGAAAGGTGATTTTTCGGAGAGCGGCATCATAATTCTTTACCTCCACCTTCTCCATGAGAGGACGAATGACTAAGTGGGTGTCGGTGCCTAGGAATGAGGAGGAGAAGGTGTACAGAATTAGAAGTTATCCTACATGAGAACAGCGAGAGCCAGGAGGGGTAAAGCAGCAGCCTTGCTGGGAGAAGAACCCACCTCCGGATATCAGCGATGTTGGGCTGTGGGCCACAGTGCGCACGTCATGAGTGTGATGCTGGAATGGTTTGGTCCGAACCCACTGCTTCTCACTGCTGTTAGATGTCACAGGGACCAGCTGAAAATGGAAGACTGTGCCCTCGGCTGTGCCCACCACAAAACTGTCTTCTTGCTGAAGATTAAATCATGAGGGTGGCACATGTAAGCAAAACAAAGTCTGACTGGAAAAATACTCCCTGAGGTTTTCTGTCTGGGCAGCTTAGGGGTAAACCTATGCCCAGAATCAGTAGGAAAGTTACAAGGGTCTTTTCTCTCCAGAAGCTAAAGGAGAGAGCACCAGAGGAGCAAGGTCAGACACAGGTAACAATGCGCCCCCTACTGACAAAATTAACAACGTCTACAGTAGGAACAATACAGTAACGTTTCATATACACAACCTAGATCTCCTTAAAATAGCACAGAGAGATAAAATACCTAGGACCTATCTGAGAAATTTAAATCCTTCTAAAGAACATAAGGGAAAACCTAAACAAACAAATCCGTTACCATGTTCTTTAATAGGTATATTTAACATGATCAAAATATTATCACTAAAGAAATATATTAAACCAATAAAAACACTGATAATCCTTTATTTGGAGCTAGAACAGCTGTTTCATAATAATGTTTATTTTATTAAAAATATGTAAGAAACACCAGGCACGGTGGCTCACGCCTGTAATGCCAGCACTTTGGTAGGCCGAGGCAGGTGGATCATGAGGTCAGGAGATCGAGATCATCCTGGCCAACACATTGAAACCCCGTCTCTACTAAAAATACAAAAAATTAGCTGGGCGTAGTGGTGTGTTCCTGTAATCCCAGCTACTCGGGAGGCTGATGCAGGAGAATTGCGTGAACCAGGGAGTCAGAGGTTGCAGTGAGCCGGGATCACACGAGAGACAGACTCTGTCTCAAAA